AGTTTCTCGCACGTACATTATTTTGGAATGTATGGATTGATAATAACAAAAATTAACACAAAATATGTACAAGTTTGCGACAAGTATGCTAACATAATTATTATTAAATCTGGTTTGGTTAGTTATTTCTTCTTATCGCTTTGTGGTCGACCAAACTAATGATTTTAAAATATTCATGTTATTACAGTGTTTTGCCTTTTTTTCTATACAAAAAGTAAAAGTTATAGAAAATTTAAACACAAAAATAACACACTAATATCAAAAATATCCTAAATTATTTTTATTTTTATTAGTATTGTTATTTGGTATATTAAATTAAAAAAGACTTGATTTTCGTTTTAATCGAAAGAGATATTCTCTTGGAGCCTAAACTGCCTAACAATTGTGTTTTTTTTATTAGGCAAAGGCAACTTACGGTACAGGTTGTTTCCTCTTGTACAATACCGGAACCACAATGGTAGATAGTCGACATGGTTTGTTGACGACCGTGGCGTATCAGATGGGACCAAACGAGCCTCCCGTATATGCTTTGGAAGGCTCCGTGGCAGTTGCAGGGGCTGCCCTTTCTTGGTTAAGGGACAATCTTACAGTTTTATCTGATTTTGATCAGGCCCAAAAACTAGCCGAGGAAGCTGAAAGCGAAAATGGAGGAGAAGTTTATTTTGTACCAGCCTTCAGTGGGTTATATGCTCCTTACTGGCAACCAGATGCAAGAGGGTGAGTTTCTTCCATCTTTAAGTAATAAAATAATGATAGTTAAGTTAAGTCAGGTAACACTGTTATTAAGAAGTATATTTTGCACAGTATTAAGAACTTTTAATTTCTAGAATAATATGTGGAATAACTCTTGATACAAAAAAAGGACACATAATAAGGGCAGCTCTTGAAGCAGTCTGTTTTCAAACTCGAGATATTTTACAAGCTATGAACAGAGATTATGGAAAAGAAACTCTCAGTGTTTTGCAGGTAAATGAAAATAAAATTGTAAATTTTAGATCTAATGAATCAAAGTGCGTCAAATGTGTAATTTAACAAACTTGATAATTTTTATCATTATTTAAGTTTTATATTTCTCAATATGTAAACTTATTTAAATATTACGATTTAAATGAAATCACAAAAATATTTCACCGAATGATATAAACATTTCGATTTGGGGGTAGGGAAAATCAGAATTTAATTTCTTATTTATTTCAAGATTATTGCTAATACTGATTTTTATTAAAAACACAAAGTTTATGAAGAAAGTCGCATCTGTTAATATTTCAATCATGTATATTTGGACTTTGCATTCATGACAAAAAGCTTTTGAACTGTGAAGTTAAACTATAATCTTTTTTTAGGAATTATCAAATACACAATAAAATTTTCAAAGATACTGTCAAGTCGAAAGACAAGAAAAAACTGGAAATTGTAGTAAAAAATTTAACTAATTTTGACCGTAAAATCGATCAAACGAACAGGAATTTTTTTCGAAAGTGTGAACTAAACGGCAGCTTTCTTTAGACCAGATTTTTAATTTCATCGTACAATACTAATACGATGGCACCTCCTGTACCACGGAGTACGTTTGAGAAAGCACCCTTGAAGAACGCTGCGCCACCTTCGGTCTTTGCTATAGTTACCCAGCAGTGAGCCGTGCTCTTGTACAAAATATCAGCCTTCTTACGACCAGACTGCATCATCATACGCCTACGGACTGTGTCGAAGGGATATGAGATAATACCGGCAATTGTTGTTACAGTCTAAAACAAAAGAGAAAATGAATTGTGTATTCGTTTGGTACGTTTATGAAAAGATTATCATTAAAACTGTATGTCGTTCGCAGATGTGAGGTCTGTAGTCAGGTCGACAATCTTAACAGTTAAATATTTCTTGTTCTTATTGAAAAAAAAAAAAATTATTTTGTCCATGGTCAGTGCCAGCTAAGTTTTACGGCATGGGCCATAATTAAAAAAAACAAACAGTTAGAACAATGTTTCAATAAAAAGGGGCGTACATAGAAATGCAAACGTTTCGTGAATGTTACCTTAAATCAAAATTTGCAATCTAAAAAGAACACATTTCATCTTGTTTAAGCTACAATATGCTCCGCGATAAATTTAATAATATTGTGTGTGTGTGTGTAGATGTTTTACAAACCTGTGCAATGGCCCAGGAAATAATGATGGGCGTGTTCTTGGGGTCAGGGAGGATACCTTTAGCTGTGTCATAGAAACCAAAGAATGCTGCACGATAGATAATGATACCCTGTACTGATACACCGAAACCACGGTACAAACCAATAAGACCGTCACTTTTGAAGATTTTAGTTAAGCAATTTCCCAAACCACTAAATTCACGTTCTCCAGCGGCTTTACCAGTATCGGCGGCCAATCTATAAGCATAAAAATAAAATAATTAACATACATACTTGAAAACTACCGTCTACTCATAAAAAAGACAACATTTTGAAATACACTGATTCATAAAAAAATAATATTAAAAAGGGTAAATACCTATTAAGTTTTTTTATATATGAAAAAGTACGTCGGTTCGCGGAATTATTTCTATATACATAATTTACGTCAGGCTTGTAATTAATATCATGACTGATTAGGTACGAATGTATGCATGTATTAACCAACTATCAACTAGACTCAACGTTATCACTTGATAAACGATTTTGTTCACGTTGTCTCACTTAGAATAAATGTATACTATTATTGAAATAATTGTAAATTAGCGTTAACAACGAAAGTGCAATTACATTAATTATGAATAGACAAATCTGAATATGAATAAATTATTTACAGCAAAAAAATTCTACCCACAATTTCACCTAATATAATATTTACCAGAGGTTTCTTATACCTAGCTACTTAAAACATCTCTGTATGTTTTATTATGCGTACAGTATCAAGATATATTTTATTCCGAGACCTATAATGCAAACGCTACTTCTAAATTGGTTTTTGGAGCATGACTGTAGAGATTTTTATTAAAAATCAAAATTAGGTGCATTGTTGCTTGATTATTTATTGTTAGAAATGTTTTTAATGGACCATTAAATAAAAAGAAAACTCGCCTGGTTCTGGCAAAATCAAGTGGGTAGACAAAGCAGAGAGAAGTAGCTCCAGCAGCACCACCAGAGGCCAAATTACCCATGAAGTATCTCCAGAATTGTGTGTGTTTGTCTACATTATGTAAAAACAGCTGCTTGTATTTGTCTTTGAACGCGAAGTTAAGGGCTTGAGTCGGGAAGTATCTGATTACGTTGGCAAAGTTTCCACGCCAATATGCCAAAACACCCTGTTCTTTTGGGATACGAACGAAGCAGTCTATCATACCTGTTAAAAACAATAGCCAATTTAATTTTTAGCAAATGATTCTTGTTAATTAAATATTTTTGTCAATAAGTTTTTATAAAAAAACATACACCGTGTTAAACACAGCGATAAAATTTAATTTGTTACATAGTCTTGACCTGGGATTATCAATTAGGTTTAGTTTTATTAGGTAACATTGATAAACGCACTTTTATCTAATATGTGACCGATCTTTTTTGATTACATATTTACGAAAAACTTTAGGGAGTGTTAATGGGTCACTGGTATAGCTTATTTTGAATTAATGCCAAACGCTTGAGTAATAAGTCTGTAATATAAAGATGGGTAAAAATAGAAAATTTTGCAGTTTGCGGTGATTTTAATATCCATGTCTAATAACATGATGCAGTTTAACTAAAATTTTATAATTACAGTATAATTTAAGGTTTAAGTAGATATAAGGTATTTATTTTTAAAATAGCCGACAACAGCATTACTTAACAAATTCGAAAAACAATACTTCAGATAAAACTAAAAATCAGGCCAAGAGAAATACCTATCTGTTCATTTATGTTTGCAGGATCGATTAAATTAACTACATAAATAACCGAATCAAATTGACCGCAATTAGGTACTGTAATAACTGTACAACCAAAGCTTTAAGCGTTGAGTAACTTAAACTACTTATAAAAGACAAATATAATGTACTTTTTCGCGATATTGCAGAAAGTCATCAATTATGATCTTTTCTTTACGGTCTTTCCGGTAAAGCGACGACCTTGAATTATTAGGAACATTAAACTTGTATATTAATACAATAAGTCAATGAACTTTTTCATTAAAGCAAGATCGACATGCGCAAAGAATAGGTAGGTATAAAAAGTTTTCAGTAAGTTTAAAAAAATTAAACATGTGAATTACCTATGATCGAAGGAAACCCTATATTTTCAAGTGAGCTGCTACATTTTAAAGTTAATTAGTCCTATAAAAAATTTTATTATAAATTAAAAGTTAATATATTTAATAATAAGCAATCGTAATTTTGAATTTTACATTTTGGATAACTGGATACCTACCAAAATGGGTAGGTAAGTGTATGATTAATGATTATATAATCCCAATGCCTACGTATCTACCTATAGGCAGGATTCATACGACGATTATGACAGTGGATCCAAAAAACCGCTACTTTTTGATATTCAGATGTTAAGGTGTCGATTTAATAAAAGAAAAGTTGTGGGAAACTTTAGTTTGCACAAAAAATAAAAGCAAGCAAGACAGAAAATTCTAAAACTCATGATCTGCAGTTCAAAGTCTGAAACAATTCAATGCGATTTTAACATTTTAACCTACAGCAAAATACAAGTATGTATGCTATTTGCCTGACCTTGGTTGTATTACCAGCTTACACGTCAGCAGCGCCATTGAATGGTTGGCTACCACGCTTCTTCAGATACTTTTTTATTAATCATATTAAATATAAAATGATTATATTATTTCAAGTTTATGAACTTATTATTACTACAATATGTTATTTGTCGTTCTTAGGAAAACTTCCAAACAGAAATCGTTAATGAATTTAGTTATGTAACATGCTCGAGACACGATCGATAACTGCATCTGACACAAAAGTGTAGAAAGCCGAAATAACAAAAATATGTTTGAATTACATTGATTTATACAAAAATTTGATATGCTTTTGTTTTAGTATTCCAAGGGATACTATGTTATAGCGGTATTTTAATTAATAGATCACAGATTAATGGGATTATCATGTCAGAAAATAGCCCTAACAATTTCGCATTTACAAGAGTAGTCAGCACAAGGCCGAGAAATGTTTTATGGACTTACCCTTGTATCTCTGATCCTCTGGGATTTGTTTGGAGACATGCTGGACTTGGAGGAGTAATTTCACTCTTTCAATGGGGGCTACGGCTGTTTTGGAAATGGCTGCGGAAATACCGCCAGCCATAAAGTCCTTTGCGAAGGCAACGGGATCTGCTAAATTTGAAGGCATTTTTACACTAGGGTATGATAGAGCAAGTCTGTACGAGCCGCACACTTAACTGCAAGTGGTTCAGGGAGTGGAGTCTCTTACCGCTTACGACATGCGCACCGGTCATGTGCTTTCCCAGGTTGTTCTGGTCCAATAATAGGATATACGTCATCAGACGGCTTTGGACAGCCAGTGACGTAGATAAAAGTTGAAAAAAGGATAAAGTAAAAGTGGAACACAAATGCGTAAAGATGCACTGTGAACTTCTTATGCTAAAAATAAATCGAAAACAATTTTTTAGCTCTATATTACTATGCTATAAGTGCTATTTTTCTAATGTTGTTAATAAAAATTTCACACTTCAACTGGTAACAGAAACTTTAGAAAAGTTTTCAGTCAAGTTATTAAAGATAAATTAGACTAAAGAAGTACGTACAGACTGTGATTATTCATTAATTTCTGTCTAATTGTTTTTGAGCTGCACTGTACATACAGTTTAGTGAATAAAATGGCCCTAATAATTAATAAAAAAGTTGCTAAATTTAAAATTTCATGTTTCTTAAAATCTTGTTATAAACGAATTCCTTTTAAGGAGATGAATAAAATTTTATTATGTAACAAAAATGTTGTGTTATCAATTGTTTTGTGTGTGATTATTTGATAAGAAGATTTATCATAAGACGCAAGCCATTAATGATTTCAATTAAAATTTATTTTATACGTAAGAATGATGAAGCTGTTTAACTTAAAATCACAGTGAAGCACGTAATTAATAAAGGCCAATCAATTTACAATTTTCGGTAATACGTGGTTTAATGCGCTGTAATTATGTAATTTACATCTTTCATGTAAAAGAAGTTGCCTAACTTGTAATTTAATTATATTTTAATTAACGCAAGTAATTATGTGTAAAATAAAACCGTAAATATTATGTATTAACATTATTTAAAAACTTTGTACAGATTTTTATTAAAANAAAATAGCGCAGCCTTCGACAACTTGGCACTCAGGAAATTAGTTATTACTAACATATTTTAACATTTGATGCGTATCATATACGCAGGTTTTGGGAGTTGTCGAAAAAGTGATATTTATCAATAAAAAGTCATTAATAAAGAAATTTAATATAATAAAAAAAAATCCTTTATCATTTGAATTCGGTGTAAAAATATATTCCAGTTTAATCGATTTAATATTAAGATGTAGGCAGTATATCACCATTTAAAAATGATTGTAAGCACCGTATGGCGTGCTGATGAGAACTAATAAGTTCGAAGTCACGATCAACGTCTGGCAGTTTCGAGAAATTACTAACCAATAAGTTAATGATTTAATTTAAATGAATTAACTTATTTAAACTTAAGTTCTTATTATTAGCCAGGGAAGAAAAGATTTTCTAAAGCGCCGAGGATTGTAAAATTCAAACCTATGCGTTTTTGGACACAATTAAACTATTGCAAGGTCGGTTTGAGAGATGCCAATCATGAACAAGGTGTTGGCAAATGATTGTAATCTTGAACTTTGCCTGTGTTTCGATACAATTTCTTATTTTTAGTGTCAAATACAACATGATTAAACTGCGTGAGGTTACATAAAACTAACATCTTAAGACCAAACCAAGGTTATTTATTGTACTTATACTGACGCCAGTTACCTAGACCCCCGTTGAATGTTGTTTTATTGAACTTCTCGCTACAATTATGTAGTTTGATGTTAAAATTAGTTATCTTATAACTATAACTACTGAATCTTCTCGACGTTGTTATTATTTTCAAAGAAATTTAAATTTGAATCTAGATTAGTATTATTGTATAAAAATTCCGCAATTAGTTGAAAATATTGCTAAGAAGTTTTTTATTACTAGATATTTTATTTACTCTATCATTTGTTACTTTCTTTGATGTTGTACGCAGAGATAATTTTTAAAATTTATTTGAAAGTGACTTTTTGCTTGAGTAAACTGGAACAAACTACTTACAATAAATTCTTATTACTTGCCTCTATGTAAACTTATAAGTCATTAAGTTATTATCAATTTATGTAAGTACTGGACAATATTTACTTCCATAAAAAGTACAAATTATGCAACCAAACAATATTTGGCTCTGTATGAATGTCTGCCCTTTTCATTAACAAAAGTAGAAGTTTTAAAAGTATTATGTCTAGAGTAGTGGATCAATAGTTCTTATTAACAGTATAAAGACTGATTATTAAACAAATTACATTATTTTAGAACGTATATTATTTTAATTTAAACTTGTACTTCCCCCTGCCCCCGGCCTTTTTTATTGCTCCACTATGACGTAGTGTCGGCCATCATTATTTTCTAATTGTTGCAGTTGTCGGCCATCATTCTTTTTCAATTGTTGTCGCATTGTTACTTATGTCGGCCATTATGGTTTTTTAATAGATGTATAGTAATCAATGATTAAAATTTATAGGAATTGTTTGTAAATAGGTATGCAACACATCGTACACTTCAGCATAAGAAATTACTGATACTACCTACGTAATACTACTTTGCCCTGTGTTGACAGCACTCATAATTTCTTTTATATATAATATTAAACGTATTCTTTAAAACTCTTATATCAGAAACCAGCGGCGCACGTGCGGGTACTTTGCATACATTGAAATAAAAAGTAGTGTACAAACGACTTGATAAAATGATAACGTTGCTAGATTTTTGTACAATTCTTAGCAATAATTTTCCAAAACAATCGTAATTGTAATATCAATTGCTTTTATTTCAATAATGGTTTTGCTGTTCTTTAAAATGTTGTAAACAAAATTTCACTAAATACAAGTAACGAAAAGTAAACTTTATTTGCTCCCAGTGGTGTACCTATACATATAATGTCACTCATAAAATATTACAGGTGCTGCAAAGTAATACCCCATTTCGTTGGCAGATGTGTTTCTTATAAGGAGCGTACTTAGAAAATATTTTGTTTTGTAAACCTGAATTCTGCGGGCACTTTCCGTTTTCTATTATGTTTATTATCTGACAGTGGCCATGAATAGAAGTAATTTTGTTTTAATAAGCTTAAGGAATATTACAATTTTAGAGTCGTGGACCTAAGTAGGGACCTTATATCTGCGAACGAAGTGCGGTCTTTAGTAACATCATTCAACATTTATTATAAATCAAATAATTATACATATGCATCATATTTTTCTTTACATCACTTTAATAACATAATATATTAGTACAATGGTTGTGCACGTAATTACTTGGGTAATTCCCCTAACAATATAGTACGTAATAATTATTGTAAATGAGATTCATTTAACACTGGATTAACAATATCCTAACAACAACGTCATTTTTACTTTTATTATTATAAAAATAAAACTAAGAAAATCTTATCGTCCATCATTTTATAATAATTTTGCACTGTTTCTCTTATTTAAAACGTTATAGTTAGATATTTTTTTGAACAATCAATAAATAAAATAAATATAAGACTTTCTCAAAACACTATCACCCAAAACGGGTCATTATAATCAACATCTTTGTTGCCCATAAATAAATAATTTCATATTTAAAACTTATATTTAAAAATGCACTTAGAGGAATGATATCTAATAATTTGGTTGATAGTAATACAAAAAATACGTCTGTGGTAAGAATAACGTTAAATAGAATTGACCCTCAAACACTTCGTTGTATGATGAGTGCTTTTAGAAGTCAGTCCTTTTTTACGTGACTCTTACTGTACCTAGTCGTTTATTTGAGAAAATTTTTGTAATTTTTATTGTCGGCATTCGGCATATACTTATTGATTTTTGTTAAGTATTTTGCAAAATTATTGGCAAATAAATATTGTTTTGGTAGCATAAAGTGGGTTAGTGTGGTTAGGATTTTTTATAAAAGTTTGGCACCGCTGATTTTTTTTTTTAAACAATTAAAGGTATGAGAATACAAATCAGCATAAAAAAAAATATAATTACTATTTTTGATGTTTAAAAATTTATATCTTGTAGTGTTAGCCTCTACGGTGTATGTTTATGGGGCATTATAGAATATTTAAATCCTTAATTTTCCACCTCGTTCCGCTAATCAAAAATTAAATTATTTTAATGGTGAAAAAAGAGCGAATTAATATATAATTGCATCCGATTGTAGAAAAATATTTAATCGTAAGTTTCTGTTATTGGCTAATCAAGTCAGTGGCTATAAATCTTAATGTAATATCACAGAAATTAATAAACACAAAAAAAATAATTATTATTATAGATGTAGAAAAGACAAAGTGAAAAATCAGCGAAAACGGTGGAAGTTGTGAATCTTGGAAGCTTTGGAATGACAAATATTAAGAAAAGTTACAGTCAAAATCTGATTTTTAATACCGCAAATTTCGCAATTAAAGATTGCGAATATGCCTTGTCCTTCTGACCAGCAGGCAACTTGACGACAAACCATTCGATATTTTTGCTAATTGGGAATAATTTATAGATCGTCTAGGGTAGTCTATTTTCTCCGAGAAAACCTACAAAAATAAATAAATAATTATTTGCTTATATACAGGGTGGCTCATAGTAAGATACTTATTATTGAAAAATTCTTAATTCTTGTAGTTTTAAAGTTTCTCTATTTACCTTAAAAGAATGAGGTATTTCTTCAATACTCCTATGAACCAACGTACCATTCATGTAAAGAACATTGGCAGCATCGTCTTCTGGTAATGTAATTGTCTGATAGGTATAAGTAGCTTCCCGTTCCATCCTTTTCAGGATGTCTCGGGCTTCTTTGCCAGCACCAATACATAATAAATCTGGTCCAGCCATAGATACAAAATATTTGAGATGTTTTCTTCCTGGAACCTGAAAATAGGAGTTCTATTACTCCTTTTGTACAAGAATATACGTACAATAATAATTATTTTTTTTTCTAGAATTGCTTAACGTAAAACGAATTTTCAAATTATTTTTTGTTTAGATGTAAATTCTGATTACACAGTGTTTATTACATTAATCCAATTCAGATCTTGATTAGGGGCTGATATCAGACCAAGTGACTGACGGTTGGGTAGTTTCTTGTTTTGTCGCTTTTTAAAAATGTACCTGAATTCACCTTTTCTTTTCCTGTTTTGTCACCTACGAAAAATGCATTCCTGTTTGGTCACCTATTCTTTCGCTATCGTGCTAATGAATAAAAGATTTGGAAAGAGTCACCCTAACATATGAAATCAAGAAAATCTTGTATGACGTTTCACATATTATAAGGCAATGATACAAAAACATGACTGTATTTTGTCCACTCCAAAAGAAGGGAAAAAGTTTACTATTGGAGATGATAGCGTAAAAGCTGCCTTAAAGCAACTATTGAAAAATGATATAACAGGAGGCTTTAAGAAAATTAAGCTTTATTACGAAATATGATTAATTAAGTGCTTTACTGCCGGACAAAGTCTAAAGCAACTATTGAAAAATGATATTACAGGAGGCTTTAAGAAAATTAAGCTTTATTACGAAATATGATTAATTAAGTGCTTTACTGCCGGACAAAGTCTGAAAGGTAAATTTATTTTGTGTATTAATTTGACGACCGCAGACATAGGAAATATCTTTAAACACGCCAAAATAATATTGTTTTGACTTTTAAGTTTTACTGTTTTATTCTGCCAATCGTAAAAAAAAACATTGATTAAAGTAATNAGGAACAAATAGACGATTGTTTTACAATCAATTACCTTTTGTTTATTTGTTAACCCTACCCGCATTTTTGACCTATATAACGGTTTCTTGGAGCAAAACGATTAAAAGACTGTATCAACAATCTAAAAATACTCTTAATGGCTTTTTTATTACAATTTTAAAGTTGAAATTAGACCATGCCACAGGTCTAATTCCTTTCGATAGAATTTGAGTGGTCTATTATTAAATATCAATCTGCACAGCAATTCGGTTATAACGAGCACTCATAGGATCGTAAAAATTTGTTATATGCGAGTGCTTGCTATAAAAGACAAGTTATTACAGTCAAATTCGGTACCACCGTCCGGGTCTAATGGTTAAATCAAATCATAAAACATAGAAATTACAAAAATGTTGTCTGTCAGGTGGTAACGGACAAAACGGATAAGTTTTAATCAAAACTTTTTAGAACCGCTGAAAATTATAAGTCTATCCTTTTCCTCATGCTTATATGTTTTGTATACGGGAAGGGGCAGGTAGTTTGATTAGTAACAATGAAAGAAAAACAATCTTAAAAGTTTGTCATTGCTAAATCGCATGATAAGAGCGTTTTTACCCATTATATACCAATTATTGAAAATCCATTCTACGTTCGGTTCTGTACTCGCCACTACTGTATATTATTTCGAATTAATGATTGATTTTAATCTCATCTATTTCGGTTTCTATTTCACTCAACAAGTTCGGTATTTTCTTAGTGTATTAACTTGCCAACAATGAACTTGTTACGTCAATTACAGTTTATTTAAATTCCTTTCATCAAGCGCAAAAATGATCTAATCTTTGCTATTACACTGTGAGCTGGTTTTGTGATTGCGTAAGTGCCTTATTGGAAATTTAATTTGTATAAATTAAATGACATCGTTTAGCACAGTGCACTCCTTTTGTCGTAATCGCTTACTGACATTGTGCAAAGGAAATGATTGAATAGGAAAATGTCTCCTTTTTAGGCACTGTTTATATGTTTATGTTACATACATTAGAAATAGAACCAGTAATTGACGATGAAAGATATTACATTGCCTGAATTTTAAGGCTTAGCTCCACAGTTTTATTATCATGTAATTGATAATAATAAAATCATTCTCATTTATATAATACCACATTCTGCCTACAGCTTCGCTCGCGTTGATGTCCTAAATACGTGTTAAAAATTATTGACAAAACTAATTTTTTTAACCTTAGGGAACATTATTTTTTTCTGGATAAACGGTATCTTATGTCTTTTACTAAACCTCTGGCAATGTGTGTAGAAAATTTCATGAAGATTGGTTGAGTAATTAAGGCGTGAAAACGTAACAAAGAAACAAACAAACTCACATTTGCATTTATAACATTAACAGGGACGTTAGGCGTGTTCAACTATTTTTTTACGGATAAAAGGTATTCTATGTTCTTTTGTATACCCCTGACAATGTGTGTACCAAATTTCGTAATGATTGGTTGAGTAGTTAAGGTGTGAAAACGTAGCAAACAAACGCACAGTCGCATTTATAATATTAATTAGTATGTTAGGCGTTTTCAAGTGTACGGTGAGGTGATCAATTTTTCAATTCAATTCAATTCAAGGACGAATTATGCTTAAATCCTTTTAATTATTTAATTAAACGAGTTTACATAATTACATAATTTTTTTTGTCAATACATCATTTTGTATATTTGAAATTTCTGTTACGTTAAGTGCTGCAGCTAGAGTATCAACATTCAATTTTGATTTCTCACTTGTTCAAAAATGACTAGGTACCAATTGAAAAAACTCTTTTAATTGCTGCATTAGTTTTAGGGTAGTAAAATGGTAAATTTAACAAGAATAGGTTGGTATAACTAAATTTTCATCCCTGAATATCGAAAAGGAGGGCAGACAGAAGGACACATTTCGAGGAGAGTCTAAATTTACAAAAGAAGGAAGAAGAACCCTCTAAAGCAAAACGATCGGTCACATTATGTATGGTTATTGTTCCACCACGTTTAATTATATGATCATTTTTATTTATGCAATAAATAATTTTTTATTTTACGCCAATTACCTAATTGTTTTCAATCATTACTTATCTTATTTTCCTCAAATACTTTCCCTTTGTCTACCCCCAACTAAATACTGAAAACAATAAATACCTATGCGATACGTTTTTTAAATAAAAACCAATAGTATGTTACTTGGTAAAACGTTGTGTTTGATACGTAAATGTTGTTTTTCTATTACCTTTATGGGGGTACAGGGATATTCTGGAAAAGCAGCTGCAACTCCACCAGCACCAGCTTCATTCGTCCATTCTGATATTCCAACAAAAAATTCCCTACCTTAAAAGAAAAAAAAAAAAACAGGATATAATTGTTGTTATTTTTAACAATGTAGATAAGTAATGATCTATGTATTTCTACCAACGCATAGCTGATAATAGAAAATTAAGTTTCCAGGAAGTAATGATTACATCACAATACTGTAAGTAGTTATTTTTGTTAAATTAACGTTTTGTTATTATGAGTAAAACGAATTTACTATCAGATTAGTTCAAAATCTTTTATGAAACAGGCAGAATGAGTTAAACATATTCGACTATATTTATTTAAGTAAAACTAATTCTGTACTATTTGTTTTACTAGAAAAGAAACCATAATTTTGTTAACCAAGGCTTTATATAAATTATATACATGTTTTTAAAGACCCCAAGGTCTATCAAAATAAATATTTAAGTTAGTATATTACAACAGCGAGCTTTTGTATATAAAATGCAGATGGCGCTTTAAAAGAGGTAAAAATATACAAATTGGAAGTTATTTTTTATAAAAATGCACAAAAAAGAGTTTCTTCGGGGATAAGATATTGATAAATTTATTTACCATCTTAATAACATACATATTTATTAATTTAATTAAAACCATTAGTGTTGTTTTAAAGATTCAAACCTAAAAAAATATATACACAAGTATATATTTAATGAAGGTGTATTTTTATTATCGATCGTAGATCTGTAAATTATCAATTGTTTTTTTAACAAGACCATTAACATGGCTATTAAATTAACATTTACGGCCTACTGTTTAAGAAGTCTCTATAAATAATTAAGAATTGGCGTGTAGGCATTTGTTTTAAACTCATAATTTACGTTGATCTACCAGATTTATTTACGATTTAAAGGCAATAGTAATATAAGTATTTTAGTACTTCGAAATAAGTTTCATACTTTATTTAATATTGCAAAATTTGTGCGTTTGATTATTCTGCAGATTAACAGATTACATGTATGTTTTAGCAGCTGGTGAATTGTGTAAACAAAAAGATTTGCTTCGGCATCTGTATTAAATAGTGTTTTGTAATTGGTCGTAAATTTATAACACAAATTGCCTAGCGTCGAAACGAAAACAGAATTTTGGCAGAGAAGCAAGAATATTGCATGCATGTTTAAACTGGTACTTTTTTTACAACAGTGTTAAAAAAGGTATGAAGTGCAAAGAGATTGCGTTAAAAATACATCCGACAATTTTTTTAATAGCTGTGTACTTTTTGAAATGAGACGATAGAATGAGTTAAATTTTAAAAAATTTAGAATTTGAAAATTCTTTATAAAAAAAGTCACTACATAAACGCGTAGGTAGATTTCATGTTGATTTGGGGCCTATTTGTGCAAATACTAACTGGGGTAAACACTTAAAACCCAAAATTCTACAAAACGTTCAGAAACCCAAAACCTAAGGTGTCATCTTCAGTTAGAGACTGAATTAATCTTAAATCTAAAATTAACACTCTAAGATTTTAACCAAAACCACTAATAACATGCAAAATTAAATTTGTTGAAGAGGGGTCGCAATTTTTACTTTTACTGTTAAATTCCTACTTTATGGTGGGAATCTCTTTTATCTCTTGGATCAGCTAAAATTACCTAATTACCCAATTGGTAAAGAAGGTTATCAAAAATAATTAAAATATATCTAATAAAAAAATTGTCTAATACAACGGATTCGAATTAAAAATAGTAGATAACTCGGGAATTAAAGTTGAAAAAACGTACCAAAAATATCACCAAAATAGAAAGTTAAAAAGAATAACCCGTGGGTTATCTACTGTACTGAATAAGATTAGTTTCACAGCAGTCTGTACTTCTTCAAACAGTTTACAAAGTCTTTTAGGCAATCCAAAAGATAAAATTATATTTTGTGGATTGTAATAATTTCAGAGATGGTATTAAACACTCCCTTGTGGTATTTATGATCGATAATACAATAATGGATTTTCCTCTAATACACTAAAGGTCGTCAGTCATTTTTATAATTCCTACTACATTCTATTTTTAAATGTAACAAGAATAAAAACTTTCCCCCAAATCAACGTCACGCAAAAAGCTCACGCAAACTATAAAAACTTTCAAAAGGATTCGCATTATTATCTTCGTAGCATATTATAACAGAAAAAAAGGAAGTTATTGATCAAAAATAGAGCTAGGCAAAGCTCTCACTGAAAAAGCTCTTACTTAAAGTGCTTTAAAAAAGTTTCAAAGTGTTTAACGTTTTGAATTTAATTACTTCCGAACTAATTTGTGATTCGAAGTCGTTGGATCTTAAAATGCAATTGGGCCTTCAAAAGCTCTTTTAGTATAGCCGCTTTGGACCTTGGGGATTGGAGTTCTTTCACCCTTGATTTCAATCATATTTTTTTACTAATGCGAGATAAATATCATACAATTTTTTGCTTTATTACTCAAGCAGATTTTTGTAATTTTTCAATAGTGACCTTTAATGTAGTATCTAAATGAAAGCTTTGTTTTATATTTCTTTATATTTGGGTANTAAATTGTAGGGTAAGGGATACCGTTTACTATCGAGCGCGTATTTGAAGTGATTTAGGTAATTTTTAATTATGAAATTGATTAAAATAAGCTTACCTGGTCAAATTCATCAAAAATGTATTTGGAGGGTTGGTGAATTGAACAAATAATTATTCTCCCTTGCATACATATTTTTTTTATGATATCTACGCATTTTGTGGCTGATACACAATCCATACCTCTAAAAGAACAGTATCGTACAGCTACAATATATTTAAACGAAGATTTAGTTATATTATATTAATTTTTTTTGAAGAGTAAGTACGTAAAAAGTAAATTTAAACAATATATATATATTTCTCGTATTGTTTTGCGATAATTAATAGGGGTGGAGAGATGAAGTGATACTAATCGTAAGTGATACTAAAGAGAAAGATTTTAAAAATTACCGTTTTTATATAAAAGAATTATTGTTGTTTATGGACACCCCTACTAAGTATAATTACTTAATATTAAGCACTTTTAGTAACAGGAGACTATAAGTCGCTTTTGTTTTAGTTTGACAATTAGTTGAAAGGGGCCAGCATTTATCGGGTTATTGTTTAATTGGGAGGAGTTAATTGTTTATGATACGGATTCATTTGTTTATTAGTTGAAAAGGTAAATAGCTAGCTAATTGTGGCACAATTCGCGAATACGGTAACGCCTGTTCGATATCATTTCAATTAAATAAAATGGTTGATTGTGTAATAAAAAATACTTATGATAGACACAGTTTCAAAAACCAATTGCAAATAAACGCATCTTCTAGCTAGCGAGATAATTAAAATAATTACAATAAACCTTTGCAATGAAATGTAAGCATATACCCATCTATAAATACAGGGTCGAGATAAATATCATACAATTTTTTGCTTTATTACTCAAGCAGATTTTTGTAATTTTTCAATAGTGACCTTTAATGTAGTATCTAAATGAAAGCTTTGTTTTATATTTCTTTATATTTGGGTACTGAATGTTAGCAAGAACTCAAAATCTGTAGTTCTTAGTCGGGAAGGTGTTTAGTAAAAGGTTATTCTGAATCATACGAGAGGGGAATGATGTGTAGAAACGGTTTTTTATTGCTAAAGTTCATGTTATAGCGTCTTGTAGAGTGCTGCTACTACTAGGGAAGACAGACGCAAACAGATCTCTATTTCTAATAGGCCAAAAATGTTGGAGATCAAGTTTTTTTGGGGATGAAACATGATAGGGTGGAGGGAGTCAAAAAGTGGCTAAAATAGAGCCACATGGTTTATGACCGACGGCCCCAAAATAAAAATTGGTTTCAATAAATTGATAACGTTTCTAAAATTGAATTGGAATTGCTTCATGGAATATGATATTAGACACCTACCTGTGAATAATACATCACCCCCGTCCAATGTCGCCGTATGGTCCGAGATTTCTATTATTGGTAGGTCTAGTTCTTTTTTTAATACCACTCGTATTGTATCTATCTGAAACAAACAAAACAATATTCGCAACTGTTCGTTTCTAGTACCATTTTCGGAAAAATTCTTTTTAAAATACTGTTTTGTGGGTACGAACGTATTTATTTCTCAGTAGCAATTAATTAGTTAATTAATTCGAAAATTTGTACACAAGGTGGGAAAGGTTGAAGAAGCTTTTGACGTGTGGAGTTATAGGCGGATGATGGACAAGGAAGGAACGAGGAGGGGGTAGAAGAACAAAGAAAAGAAAGAGAGATAGGATGATATTTCACCAAAGGGTCGTTAGAGATATATTAGAAGCAGAAACAGCAGTGAAGATAGGCAGAGAAAGACCTAGACTAGATTTTTAATCATGAGTTGTCGGAAAAGGCAAACGGTTTGCTCAAATGTATCAAAAGTATCAAAAAGTCAACAAGACGGTACAAAGAAAATTTGCTAGAAGGTGAAAAATTGTTTCAGTTTTAATTTCCTTTTCNATACAATTATGAAACTGGCAATATCGATGAAGGGTTTAATGCTGATTGGTTAGTAATTTAAATCCTATGGTAAAATTCTATTTAATAATAGACAATCCTGTAAAACTTACGGGATACTTACAATAATCCAGCTAAAATGTTTAGTAAGGTTGTCTTCCCGGATCCACTTCCTCCTAGTATAGCTGTTAAGTGTTTTGATCTGAAGCTTCCATTAATTTTTTTAAGAATCTCTTTCTTACCTGCAATTAGACGTTATAAATAGTACATTGAAAGACTGAACTAACTAAATAATCTAATAAGTTTATTTAAAAAAACGAAAACTTTTCTTCTAAAAAGAATATAGATACGAAATATGAAATATTATTCTGAAAATTAATTTCTGAATTTGTTAGCCACTACACACTACCTCAAATTAATGAGAGAAAAATTGTTGCTGTTTTCACACCCCCGCCGGGAATCGAACCCGGGACCTTTGGCTTTACGCACCAATAAATATAGATACACCTACATAATTAGGTGATTCGTTAGTAGTAGTGCATCATGGTAGCTTTAAAAATCACATTTTTTACTACAAATATTTTTAGAAACAATAAAGACTATGAGGTTGGGCGTTTACTAATAACCCCAACTCATCTAACAAAATTTACGTCGGACAGACACGACGTACTCTTAAGAAACGTATATGTGACCATAAAAACAATTGAATTTCGGAACAATTCTTTGTTAAATAAACACTCTTTTTAAGTAGGCACTTGTTGACAAAGTTGAGGTTATTCTAGGTAGATAATTTACTATTAATAAGGGTTTGTTTCCGTTAATGATTTTGTGTCTAGATATTTACTTTAGTTGTGCAGTCTTCTAATGGATTTTGTGTCGTTGATTACAATATTAATTAAAAACGCCTTGGCTGCGCATTTAGTTAATTGGGTAATAACACATTATAAGTTAATGATAAACATGAATTGCGTTTATGCAATGTGATAATGATAATAGTAATAAAGGAATATAATGTGTTTTCAATTAACTTTGGAACTGTTTCGTGATCTTATAATGTTTAAAAAAAATCTTTTCATCATGACAAAAAAAATGTAATATGCAACATCAACTTGAAATCACTTTTCGATTTTGAACCACTACAAATTTCCTCAAATTAATGAGAAAAATATTTTTGTTGCTGTTATCACCCCCCGCCGGGAATCGAACCCGGAAATTTGTAAATCGAAAAGTGATTTCAAGTTGATGTTGCGTATTAACATTGACCACTATTAGTAATTAATAAAACAATGTCTTAAAAGAATGTATTCTTATCCAAAAACATTGTATGACATTAATGTTAATATTATTAGTTATTAGTTATTACAGTACCTGTAGGAGATCGAAAATCATTGACAACATATTCCAAATTTTTAAAATCTAATCTCATGGGAGAATACTTCGATAACCTTTTGTCAAAATGGTCACTTCGCCTTATCAGGGAAGTGTCAGAAAAACCATCGTCATACACTTCCATCTTTCTACACAAAAACGTTACTTGATTAATTATATTAAGATGCTTTATTAGTGTAAGTACATATTGTTAAGTAAATACGCGTACGTAACAAAAGCAACTACTAAACAAACGAACTTTACTTCATTTTAATGCTTACTGATACAGCATACAAATACCCGCTTAATTGGCTATGTAATTTAGTGTACTGTAGAACACAAGCTTTATATATACATAAAAAACAAATGCATGGATATGTGTTTAATGAGAATTTCTTATTTGCTGACAAATATTAATAAACGTGGCAATTTTTCTTTAAGTACATAGTGCAATTTCGAAATTTACGTGACAACACAAAGTGTATTTTTGTTTTGGTAAAAATTTTAAAAAAACAATTTCCAATCTACTGTCTAGTTAATCAGTACCTAATTAAAAATTAAAAGTTAAATAGTTATTGATCTCATTTTACAAAATAATATTGTTAGTGGTTNCATCTTGCAATAGCTGACTCATACATTTCAACGTGTAGGTATGAGTTTATGGAATTATAAAAATAGCAGTTTTTAATGTCTGATAAATTATGAATTTGACTTCGAGGAACTTCGATTTAACACGATTGAAGAAGATATGCAATCAGCATGAGAATAATGTTACTGCTACTGTTCCAATTTCTTCTACAAAATCTTTCAGAAAACTAAATCCATCAGTATCTATCCGACTAACCCAGAGTAATAATATAAAAAATGAAACATGCTTTACTTAAATATAAAGCAACATGTTCAATTAACATTTTTTAAACATTCTTTGACACTTTAAGTAACTTTATGTGCTTAATTATGTATTTTTTTTAATGATGAAAGCGAAACTTTGCATGATAATTGGTCGAATGTCGCCGTCAAGGACAGTGTCACGTATGCGATGAAAAATGCGCTTATAAATAAATTGTATTATAATCCCTGAAGAGGATTATCGACTTATTACTGTAATAAGAACTAAATTACGTGTCTAGCAAGAAGTATGACTTTTTAAGGGATGAAGTTTTTTTTTTGCAAAATTACCGAATGTGTATACGCCTGTTGTGAAAATAGTGAGCGATTAAAATGGTACCGATGGTTGCTAGTAAAATGGTAGGATATTTCAATCATTTGAATATGGTACTGATAACGACCACCCCATCAAGTACTGGCTTAGTGCGTTAGGCAAGGTAATCGACAATGATAATGATGGAATAAATGTGCAAGAAAAGCTTTATTAGTTTTGTTATAAATATTAACATTAAAAATTGTGAAAATAGAAACCCAAAGTGTAACCTTTATGGCCGAAATAATTTTTACACGAGTTCCACTTCATTTGCCATATTAAAGAATATGTTCAGTCAAGAAATTGATAAAGATCCAAATGAATTAGGAACCGTTCTATTCTAATCTATTATAAAGTAGATGATGTGAAAATTTAGTAAAAAGCGATTTGTCACGCATCTCATTCCTCGAAATTTCATCAAAACTTCATTGGATCAGCGTTTTTGGTTTTTCTTTCTTCAGTACATCACGTACTGTTTTTTGTTTTTGGGTTTAATTAGGCAGTGATTGATTCGACGTTTAGTGCATCCTGACCCATTTTCATTTGTTTCTGACCTAGTTAGCGAGTCGTTCAATAAACCATTGTGCGCGCCAAGCGGCCACAGCAAATGAAAGATGCACATGTCGCATGTTTATTGTTTTGTTCATTCTGTACCTCTTTAGTCCTGTCGAGTGCACCAGGTCTTGTGATGAGTGCCGTCCCATTACAAACCACCGCCGTGTCCTCCACAAAAACACATTCCGGAAGGGTTTCATCCGGAGGAAGTTCAATGACATCTAACCCTATTTCCCGAAGGAGACGCACGTAAGCCTCGTGTTGTTTCTTCGCCTCGTCCATATCGATTTGAGCTTTCGTACTAAGAGATGACGGTATCCTACATACGACCGCGTGGGTGTACCGGAACGAAGCCATAATACTTTTTAAACACACCCGGAATCACACCAACCACCTTGCTCGCTCTTTACCTTTTACCGGCCACAACGAACGACTGGATTGACGGCCGTTACCGTTGTGTTTCGAATCGCAGTTTGCTCGATGATGTTTCTGAAACATGTTCTGTCTCTATTCAATCGCCAACTTTCGTGCCAGTTCGTCCGAGCAACGTTCTCTCGAATTTGAATTGGCTCACCACGTGGCTTTAACGGCCATGAGTGCGTGCTTTTGTTACATTGTTAATGTTCCTTTAACAAGAGGAGGAGAGCTTTTGGAAGGGCCAGTGACAATGTTGCTGATGACTGGCGTTAAATATTCAATTGTCCTCGCTCTTTGTGTTATGGAGAGACTGGAGTCCAGACATTTCAAGCACCCACATCAGGAAACCGTTCAAATCCAACCACTCGGAATGTTGCATGCGAGAGTATTTAAATGATTAATCGACAGTAGCAATAGTCGACATTACCCTTGGAAGACTTATGGTGACGATTCTGTTAAAGCTCTCGAGTTTAATTCATCGAACTCCTTCATTTCAATGACAGGAAGTAAACTGAGAGACGAGTCATTTTTCCTTTTTTGGCTTTCATGGGATTGGTACTGATTGATTTTCTTTTCCTTCTCTATTTCTTATATCGAAATCTCTTTTTATTTGGGTCGTTCTTTTTGATCCCTTGATAAGTTTTCGAATTGGAAACACCTACTGCAACTTTTGAAGTTGATGGATTGGAAGGATTTTGAACAAGTTCATTTGCATTTTTATCACATTTCCTTACTTGGAAACGAGAATATCAGTGGGAAATATTTCTTTTTGATTTTAATATATCTACGATCACCTAATCTAGTGATGAAAGTGTGGAAACTGTAGAAAAGTGCATATTTTTGAAAAGATTGGACATCCCCACCGTAGAGTAAATGAAACAAAACATTAATAGTCAGGTATTGACTTCAACTGTTGGTGACCTGGATGTCATTATTAGACCTCTAAAGGTAAACCATCAATTACAATGGCGAAACCCATTAAAATCGCACTGTTTAAAATATACTAGAGACAAAGCTGGACTTCTTCCTTGAATCTTATATAAACGAATAAATTTAATTTTGTGTATTTTATTAAAAAAAGTCTGGTATAAAACATGTTATTTACAAAAAAAAGTAGTTTTTTTTATAACAGGACTAGAAACGACAGCTTCAATTTTCTTCTCAAAGTCAACTTTCGTTCGCAGTTTTAAGGCTAAGTAGCCCAACACACGGCAAACGAAAGTAAATAAACAAATGTAAACAATTTCTAAGTAATATCGCTTGTCCCCCATTCCCATGTCACGTAGAAGAAGATCCGTGTCCTTATAATGACAGTAGTCTTCGTCCAAACATTCCAAAGGTGGCTGATTGGAAAGCATGAGTCTACATAATGCGGTGAAGCCGGATCTTACGTAGCTGAACGATGTAACAAAATCCATAAATGGATGAATTTTTTCACCGTCACCTATGCCGTACAAGGAGAGCATGACAAATGGTGCCAGGATGACCGGAGCGGCTATCGAACCATGCTGAAATGAATATTAATTAATCGAGTTCAATTTCCTGAATAAATATTCGTATTACGAGTAAAGTGTGTAAAAAAGCGAGTTTGGATTTACCATAATATTAAACAGTGATCCCACGAAGGTACCTAATGCTTCAGATGCAGCTGAAATCGTAAATGTAGTGAATGAGAATAGTCCAAAATAGTACAAATCCATTCTTTGAGCAGTAAGAATATAAACCAAACCGTTGAAAATGAAACCGTAAAGAATCTGCAAAACAGATGGTTATTATCTTAATGGGCTTAACATTAACAACAAAGCTTTCTGTAAAACAGACGGTGTTAAGTAGAATTAATGGATTTCGAATTCAAATAATAATAATAATTTACTGACTTCTAGTTATATCTTTCATCAAAAGATGGTCATCAATTAATGTGTACTTGATAATTAACTGAAACTAAACAATGAGGAACCAAATAAAAAAGTGAAGTATGTTGTCCAGTTACTTGAAAAAGTTGGACAATTGGATCGAAAAAATTAATCCACTGATACAATGGCTTGTGGTCAAGAAGCTTATAATCAGCCATTATATCAACAAAAAACTTGACAGAATGAAAAATGGTCAAGCCAAAAGGTCATCAGTTAACGTCCGGATACATTGCTTTGTGGAAGGGTAGGTCACGGCGCGGCGGTTATATCAACCTTTGAACTTTGGCGTCCCATTGTTTCAATTCTATTAATTATTATCAGTCACACATCAAAAAGAATATCCTTCTACTATCGGTTTGGTATCATTTGATGTGATATAGGAACAATTGGAAAATAATGAATTATTTCACTTTGAAATCGTCCATTTATCGATCTCTGTGTGGGAGTTTTTACGAAATATTGTAGAAAAAATAAAGTGGAAGATCATTCAAAGTTAGAATTATAGAATAGCGATGCAACGGGCGTGTCATAAAGGAAACAGAAGTAAATACTAAATTTTTACGGAAGCGGATGTGTAATGATTTTAGGTGACTTTTTAATGCAGTGTCGTGCCCCCCCTTTCGCGAATATTTTGTTACAAATTTTGCATTTAGCACTTGCATCATTAATATCAACAAAATGATTCCAAATTGAACTTCTTTTTGGCTTCAAAATTGCACTTTTAACGGTGCATTGACGCTAATACTTCATAAACATTAACGGTTGATAATATTGCAACGAGCAATTTCATTTAAATTGTTAAGTTCCGATAAGTTTCCGTTATAAAAATGTGGAACCAGATGCGGAAACGGATGTAAAAATGTATGCGGAACTTCCGCAATTGCGGAAGCGGAATCTGAGGTCTGTTGTAACACTATGTAGTTTTGAGCATAACAACATTAATAATTGTAGAATTAATAAATAATTTTTAACGAAAACTTTAATTTTTTTAACTGCATACCATTATGGGAACATTCCTTAGTATAAGTGCCCCATAATATGCTCTAAGAGAGTACCATCTATTCGAGTACTCCTTTTTGAATATTTCAACTTCACTGGGTACTGGAAACAATAAATAATTAGCATAACTTTAATATTATTCGTTCATTAATCGTACACAAAAGTACCGATGTCATTGTGTGAGTGTAAATGAAAAACATGACGACTGTGAGGTAGAAGAAGAAGTTTTCAACTGCTTTCGAAGCGCTACTACTTGAATTGAGAAAAAGTCCTCCGGTAATAAGACCCAATAGCAGATGATTAAGAAACTGGATAAATAACAGTTTTTTATCCCGACTCATTTGTAAAAATGTTATGATTAATAATATTTTTATTTGTCTAAAACATGAGACGGGAAAATTTAAAATATTTTCAGGATTCGTTGTTTGTTCTTGTTCTTGTTCCTGTTGTTCCGAGGAATATTGGAAATCTTCCAATAGACCGTGTTTACTTCCTTCCTGTAACGTTAGCAATGGGATTTCTTCTTGTGCAATTTCTATAACTGAAATATGTTATTTTTATTATGTTTATCGAGCACATAGTTTAGTAATATTACGATAATCTGCAGGATTCCATGATAAAGGACATATAAGGTTCATTTTTGATAAATATTTTACCACGTTTGATGGAGATCCATTATAAATACATCGACCTTCTGCCAAAAAATAAACCTGAAATGAAGTAGAAAAAAAGGTGATATTCAGTTTCCTTTCTTCTTCTGTTTGTTCTATTGAAACATTTTTCAAAAGATTTGGCTGTATAGAGGAATCTGCGATTCTAACTCATTGATTTCCGATCATATCTCACTTTAAATGATATCAAATCGATTGAAAAACAAAGCTTTCTTTGTAATTAATTATCAGTAAATCAAAAAATTCATGTAATGGTAATGAAATATCTCAGAGGAGTATGCGGGGTCACAAGATTTGAAGATGTTCAGTAGTTTACAGAAGATTTTAGAACAAAACCAGCTCAGGTTGTTAGGACATGCGAGTAGAAGTAATGGAAAGAAACAAGTAGGAAAAATATGGGAAATTGGAGTAATTAAAAGGAAAATTGAGAAAGCCAAAGGAAAAATTTTATATATATGTTTGTTCTTATAACTAGTTTTACGATTTGAAAAACTACAAACTTATGTATAAAGCAATTGTAATAATTAAGTGAATTTAATTTCTAAAATAAAGGGGCACGTTCGCATATTAGAAAAAGAAACGGGTTTTCTAGTGGTAGGTACTGTAATTCAATAATACTCCTGACCATGCAATAGAGGGTGTTTTTATAAGAGACTACGGGAATAATAGCTGCTATAACATACCCACCCTTATACGTTATGACTACACAATGTCCTAAATTGTAGGGTAAGGGATACCGTTTACTATCGAGCGCGTATTTGAAGTAATTTAGGTAATTTTTAATTATGAAATTGATTAAAATAAGCTTACCTGGTCAAATTCATCAAAAATGTATTTGGAGGGTTGGTGAATTGAACAAATAATTATTCTCCCTTGCATACATATTTTTTTTATGATATCTACGCATTTTGTGGCTGATACACAATCCATACCTCTAAAAGAACAGTATCGTACAGCTACAATATATTTAAACGAAGATTTAGTTATATTATATTAATTTTTTTTGAAGAGTAAGTACGTAAAAAGTAAATTTAAACAATATATATATATTTCTCGTATTGTTTTGCGATAATTAATAGGGGTGGAGAGATGAAGTGATACTAATCGTAAGTGATACTAAAGAGAAAGATTTTAAAAATTACCGTTTTTATATAAAAGAATTATTGTTGTTTATGGACACCCCTACTAAGTATAATTACTTAATATTAAGCACTTTTAGTAACAGGAGACTATAAGTCGCTTTTGTTTTAGTTTGACAATTAGTTGAAAGGGGCCAGCATTTATCGGGTTATTGTTTAATTGGGAGGAGTTAATTGTTTATGATACGGATTCATTTGTTTATTAGTTGAAAAGGTAAATAGCTAGCTAATTGTGGCACAATTCGCGAATACGGTAACGCCTGTTCGATATCATTTCAATTAAATAAAATGGTTGATTGTGTAATAAAAAATACTTATGATAGACACAGTTTCAAAAACCAATTGCAAATAAACGCATCTTCTAGCTAGCGAGATAATTAAAATAATTACAATAAACCTTTGCAATGAAATGTAAGCATATACCCATCTATAAATACAGGGTGTATCTGTTATAAATACTATCTATACTAAAAAACAAGTATACGGTTTGAGAGAAAATTTGGAATTTGACTAAAAACTTTGAATAAAATAAGAAATAACGAATAATAT